ACTAATAGAATGAATTCTGGGGGTTGGAGCTTAGACTTTTCGACTTTCAATTTTAAGGACCACCCTACGTGAGGCTAAACTTTAAGGTTAATGAGGGAAGGGTAAATGTTGTTGGAATTTGAATAGAATTCACCAGGAGATTTTTCTTGACTAGTACAACGAATTCCGGTGGTTGGAGCTTAAAATAAATGAATTTTAAAAATGTACGTCTCACGAAGGACCACCCTAACACACACATGTCCACCTCCACTGTAAATACTGATATTTATTCATTCCCGGAAGCTCCCTGCCCCTGTGCTTGTCTCATTATAGCATAAGGTATACAGGTTTATATATATTGCAATCTAGGGCATTAGATATTATGTCCCCAACACAGTTAATCCAGCTCTCTGCCTGTGCTCCCTCCGACCGTCTCTGCCTAGACCTTAAACCCCCAAACATTATTTGCCCATTCCACCATGTAATTATTCAGCATGCGGCCATGCATTAATGAGGTTAGTCATACAACAAGCACACGCAATGACTAACCGCAAATGGGGCACACCTGAGGTAGCAGCCTGATATAGCCTGAGATTACATGGAACTGAATTTGACTTTCAGTGGTCGTTTTAGGTCTATGGACACATCCAGTTGATTTAACGTGAGAACCTGTCCAGTCTCGACACAGAACAAGACTGTGAGTGTGCGGCCATTTTAGCAGCTCTGTGAAGCTGTATATTACATCCTGGTGCATTTAGCTAAAAGCTAATGCATCATGCTCATAATGAAACTGCTTACATGCTGATGTTAACAGGTATAATGTAGACCAACGATCACCATCTTAATCTCACATGATACATGCATGCACATCTTTGCTAAACACATTTTAACCTCATTATAGCAATAGATGAAATATCAGAAGCGTCACAAAAATGTTTTACCTATTAACCTGAGGGCAACATCATTTTGTGTAGAAACATGAATGGCCAACATTTCATTTGAAAAACACGAATAAAAAGAAAAACACAAACAACTTTATAGAGGCGCGACAGGAAAAAAAAAAAGTTAGTTTGATTTATCACCTGGGCACCATGAATGTGTGTACACAATTTAATTGCAATCTATTACATATTCGTCTGGACTAAAGCGGCCGACAGTTCAACTTCCTACGCTGCTAACACGGCTAAAGCCATTCATTTACACAAGTTGGGAAACTGCAAACATAAAAAGTGATCCAAATGCTTTCGCTTTAATTTATATTGGAAGGCAGAGTCAAAAAGCGTTAATCCTTCACCCTGAACAGCCTTGCATAGATTTCCAGTCAAGGGAAGAGATAAATATATGACCAAACAAGCTAATCTACATAATCATTTCACAGTGAATAATACTGCTATAGCCACAAATCTAAATCATGGCAACACAGCCACCAAAACTCTTTGTGGCCAGAATCCAATATTCCTGCTCTGTGCTGCTGGCATCAGTGTGCCCGTCCCCTCCCACTGTTCTCACAGTTGGCCAACGAACACTACTGCCTATGGCCTAGATTACTTCTTGAACAAGCTTTTCAATTCATGACTAAAAGACTAAAGCAATGTAATCTTCTCATGAAACACCATATGGGTTGAATGTTGCTAAAGGAATGTAATATTGTTGGAAATGTTGATTTATTTAGCTAAAAAAATAACCACCACTGTGATGCCACCGATCGGTTTGTGGACTACCATTTTGAAGCCTTAAGTTTGGCTTTTGGGCTGTAGCCATTTTGGAAGTAATAACAAATGGTTAGAGATGAGTACACCTGTAACGCTGAACAAAACATAAGGCGACCAATCGTTGCTATAAACTTTGATAACCCTTAAAGCACGCTGTGGTTGAAGTACAGAGGTAGCGACCTGTCAATCACAAGGAAGCCAAGTATGCTGCTTTATCGTAAATGTTACTCTAAATTGGCCCATCATTTACAAAATGAACATCATGCCTAATTTAAGAAAACTTGAGACAAGTGATTTTGAATATATTCATTAAGAAGTAGAGTCATTTTCTCATTGACGTTTATACAATCAGACTTGTTTTTGCATCCAGTATAGGTCTCTCTGGCTGGCCGTTACAACACATCCATGTTTATGGCACTTCTGCATTGGCTTCACTTTTCAGACCCAGATGTTGAAGTTTGGTCCTCCCCCCCTCAGGCCATTTGCTCCAGAGCAACCCTGAAATGATAAGGGTTATCATCATTAATCGTCCGTGCTTTCTGTCTTTCACAGCAGGTCGCCTCTAGCTTGAGTCCCAGCTGTTTAAGAAGGAATAGGGTTGAGAGAATGGCGAACGTTTCACAACCCAGATGCCGCTGCTGCGTGTGTGCTCCAGTGCACTATTACAAAAGCTCACTGTACTGTGTGGCCTGTATAAGGAGGCTCAGGTGCCAGAGGAAGGGCCTCAGAAGTGTCTGTGTGTTTGTGTGCAATTGAACTCTGATTTGGTAAACCAGGTCAAAGGTCTGCTGTGGTTAAGCAATTAAAAGAAACGGAGCAATATCACATTGAAGATCCTGATGTTTCTCCAGCTCTGTTCCTTAGCTTGTGGCTCTGTGGTCACAGCATTCTCTGTAGAAATGTATATCCCGTCCTCAACCCAGCACAGTGCTCATTTCATCATCTGCTCCATTTTGAAATGTTTTATCACAGTGAAGAGGGGACTGGCCTTCACTAGTGGTAGAGCGTACTGAACATCTGGTCTCTGGTATTTCTGTCTGCTTTCTCAATGCCCTCACTCATTTAATATTCTCATCTATTTTAATTATCAGAAGGGCTGGTCATAGAGGAGTTTGAGTTATGATGGAAACGATGTAGCGGGCCCATCTGTCATAAAGGGGGCAGCGGAGGGTTCAAAGTCTGCAGCTGGCAGGACTCGGAGCAGTGATGATGATGTCCTATCTGTTCTGCTACACAGCGTGGGGCAACCTAAAGAGTTATGTGATGGCAGATATTACAAAGATGGGTAAGAGGGTGACAGGAATAACAAAAGTTGGCTAGGGCAACTACAAATATAATTCTCGTTTGTTACAACTGGGTTGTCATTGTTGTGATTTGGGTCATCATTTGTATTGGTTTATGATAACATTGAACTAATTGCAGTGTTTGTTTCTTATCAGACTTGTGTGCTCTACTAAGTTCTAACTTCAATGAATGAATTGTCACTATAACTGATAGAAATAATAACAAAGGTTATAGGTTAATACAGAGTTTTCTTAGAGGCAGTTATAGCAGTATTAGGGAACGATCTAAAAAGCTTTTTCACTGAGTATAATTTTAGTCGTTGTCCTCCATCACATTTGTTCCCCTTGCAACACTTGTCACTGATTTTGTCAGATTGTATACTGTATGTGCATCTAGCCCGAGGCTCTGCTGGCTG